TTATATAAACAAGTTTTTTCTTTTCTATATCGAAGCAAACAATATTATATTTTTAGTAAAATCAAAGGCTAAGTTTTCAAAAAAGTATTTCTTTTATTATACAAATAGGTTTGATTTTTCATCTTTGAAAGATTCAGGGTTTTTTACTATTAATTGAGTATAAAAAGGATTTGGAAAAGGATTTTGATTAGAGATCTTAGTAATAAAATTATATACTTCTTGAAATTGATATTACTGGATAAGAAGATTATTATAAACCTGGTTGAATTATTCTTTGATAATTAATTAGACTATATATTTAGTATTAAGTTGTTTTTCGATAGTTAATTGGATTGTATATTCAATATAGTATTCTTTAGCAATAGCTTCAAATATAGCAAGCAGGTTTCGAAGAAAACACTAAGCAATAGAATTGGCGTCTTCTATATTAAATAAATCAATTAGTAGAGTTAGATTTTGGAAAGGGGTATCGAAAATAAGTATATCAATAATATAGGGTTAGTTTTGGAATACTTAACAAATATATATAATCAAGGTTTTATATATCTTGGTTTCAGGAACAGATATATTAATATTAATAATAGATATACCAGGGTTGATATTATTAGATGTAACTAATGAATTTATAGAATTAGCTATTATAATAATACAAATTGAAATCAGAATCAAAGTTATCAAGTTAAAGTTACTATATATAAATAGATATGATCAAAACTAGATTATTATCAACAGTAGGGCCTTTTGAAAGGTTGAATATATTATTATGGGGCTGGTACAGGTATTAGGTAAAATATATAATATTTGATAAAGAGAGAAGAAGGCGTGCGGAGCGACGACGATTATATAGTGGATGGATGCCTAAGGCATCCATCCGAGCTAGCTAGGAACGGGTAGTGAACCCGGGACAATAAGAGTAATTTATCGTATCGTTTGATATATTCAATATATTATTTGATTTGAAAGAATTGATTTCGTTAATAGTTGATAAATTATAATTTCTTTTTGATTTCATTTATTTTACTCGTATATTCACTTTATATTCATTTTGTCTTCATACATTCCCTATCCCATCCACACCCCCAGCTACAACATCATTTATATCTAAACCCCAACCCCATCTCTAGTCAAACCAGTACCTAGTAACCAGTGAACTTTGCCAAAGAATACCCTGCTGCTCTCAGAAACCCACTCCATACCAACTCTCATCACTACATCACCACCACATCACAGTCAATACATCAACCAGATATTATAATCATCACCCATCACAGACAGACTATCCTACCCATCATTGAAGATGAAGAGCAATTGGATTTGGACTTGGACACGGATATTTGGGTCAATGAAACAACTATCTAATTGACTGGTTGGAAATGATGGGAAATGCGTTTCGAGACTACTCGAGTATTGGTGCACAATAAAGCTGGAAGTTTGCAGCTGCCTTACTGCGAGCATGCTTGTAATATGATAGTTTAATATCATGGCGTCACTTGATGAATTTCGAGTACAGAAATGTTCATTGGATTTGATTATGTATGTGGAGGTATCAAAATGCTGGAGAATCACCAGGCGGCACACGATCAGTCCTTGTAGCCATCTCAAGCCCATAGTTCCATGCAGATTTGTGCACTTTGAACAAACAAATCACTGAATGCATGTATCCATTATTCCGGTAGTGTCATGACTTTTTGCATTCATAAAAGTCGTTTATGCGACAAAAATGCAGCCAATTGCCCATCCATCCATAATGCAAATCGAAATACCCACAGAAAATCCCCAAATATAACCATTTAACGATTGCTCTTGGCAACACGCTCCAACTCATCCTTCTTCTTGATGGCGTAGGAGTTGCTGCTTCCCTTAGCGGCGTTGATCAATTCTTCAGCCAAACACTCAGCAATGGACTTGACGTTTCTGAACGAAGCTTCACGGGCACCGATGGTAAGGAGGGCAATAGCTTGGTTGACACGGCGGAGAGGGGAGACATCGACGGCTTGACGACGGACGGTACCGGCGGATCCGATACGGGTGGAGTCTTCGCGAGGACCGCAGTTGACGATAGCATCAACGGCGACTTGGATCGGGTTTTGGTCGGTCATGATGTGGATCTATAATTTCAATTGTTAGGCTCTACTTCCAAATATATCATTCTGTAGTCGAACATACGATCTCGAAGGCGTGGGCAACAATGCGGACAGCCATGAGCTTCTTTCCGTTGTTGCGACCGTTCATCATCAAGGAGTTGGTAAGACGCTCAATGATTGGGCAGTTGGCCTTTCTGAATCTCTTTTGCGCATATCGACCGGCGGAATGGGAGATGTAGACTGGTGCTCTGATTTGAATGTAATCGCTGTTGAAAAGATATCGTATTAGCCCTTCGCTCTTCCTGTAAATTGCCCTTCTCCAGAAGTCTTGTCGAATATTTTCCGCCCCCATCCTTTTTTCCTCCATATATCTCGCATTGGGTAATCTTACGTCAAAGAGATGTCGCGGATCTCAACATCCTCGTAGCTCCATTTGTTGAAAAGCTGCAAATTGTCAGCTTGAGTTATTTCCAGAATTCGAGGTAATTCAATTAAATTGTACCTTGATGCTTCCAATCTCCTCAACAACCTCCTTTGGGAGCACTTGGTAGCCGGAGGCGGCCTCGACTTCGATTTCTCCTTCAGACATGATTGCGATGGCTGACTTGGAGTTGGCGGTGGTGGTTAAAATTTGCAAGTTGTCGACGTCGGTGGAAACTTCTCAAATTGTTAGAGTTCACTTGAATATTCTTACGGCGCTAAAGGGTTTGTGGGAGATTCAACCCTCGCTTATTTATTATGGCCTTGATGCCTGAATATCGGAATTTTTCGAGGAACATCAATATTTCTGGTTCAGTTGATCAATATCAATATTGCGATGCGATGAGAAAATTCTTAGGAATGACCATTAACTAAGGTTTGAATGTGAAGGGGGGTTTTGAGTCTCAAGCAGCAATTAATCCAGGTTTGGCGTGGTAGCGTCGGCTTCATGCTGTATTGCAACGGTCCTGTTCCTCCTGGTATCCCTTTCGGAAAGATTACTCGTGATGGATGGCTTGGTGGCGGTTTGTGCCGCATTCAGGCAAACGGATAAATATGACTGAACCCTTCACTACCACTCAAACCCTTAATCCTTCGTATTTTCTTCGAGCTTCGTTCATTCTGCAACATTTCCCAAACATTCTGAAACCTTAAGTTTGGAAATTGATATTGATTGGTTGATTCAAATCAACGAGAATGAAGTCAACCCAGTTTGCACTGCCGACGTAATAAGAGGCCCAAGGCTTTTTTATGGCGGTAATGATCAACAAATACAGCGAATTGTAATGCAGAGTAAATGTCCATATCAAATCAGTGTTGTCTTATCTGCGACTTCCAACTGTTGCGCATACGTGTCAAGGCTTTCTGTATGAAGGGTTCGCCATATATAGATCCCGTATAGCATGTGAGCCATTTTCAGGGGAGAGAGTTACATTCAGCCGTGTCTATTGAGATGCGTAGCGCTTCTCCAATATCTTTCTATGGTTGCCTGCTGGTGTTACCATCCATATAGCTTTTGGATTGATATTTCATGACCTCTCTGTCCGTACACCAAGATTTATGTTCAACATCCGAGCATTACTTTTTATCCTTCTCACCCTTTTTATATTGTACTAGAACTAGTTGAACTTTAATTTCACGCTCAGAATGGCGACAAATTCACATTACAATTTCACTACTAGTCCGTCCTCTGCTTTTGGTAAAGGCGACGACGACCGCGATGTCAATGGTAGTGAGCCTCCCGTAACACCTACCAGAAGTCACAAGCTATCTGGGAATACAAAATCTCCTCTTACCCCTTCGACCTCCTATTCCCAATCCGAGTCGACCAATAGTCCCACGCCCAATATCTTTAGCCCCAATATCAATGGCTTTGGATTGAGTATTGGACCTTTGCCTCCAACCCCCGGACCTACTCCAAAAACTACTTCCACAAATACTCGTATACCGAGTAACGATAATAGTTCGCCTACACCTGCTCCTCTTTTGAGTTCCTCGCAGAATAGTCCTGCTCCACCTCCGGCTTTTGATTTATTGTCGATCACAACGCATGCATCACGTAGTGGTAATGTGACCTCGGTTCCGGATTCAGCCATCTTTTCTACCCCTAACTCTGTACCCAATGTCACCCCTTCGTCAACCCCAGCCGCTGTTCAATCCCCTCTCCTCCGCGACCGCTACGACTTGAACTATGACCGCACCACATCCTATCCCCCTCACCTCAATAGTCTTTCGGAATTCATCCGTACACATTATCAAACCCTCGAATTCTACCGAAAATGGACTTCACACTTCATTTCCCAGCTGTCTGGTGTTCCTAACCTTCGCAACACCATGACCATCGCCCCCGCCATATTCAACGGCACCACGACAGCCTCCACTACTAGTACCACTACTTCCGATCCGCATTTCCTCCCTCCGCGCGCCGATCACGCGAATGAATTCGAAATTTTGATATGTAAGAAAACTCTATTGAAAGGATGGGAAATTGAAGTTGCTAGGGCAGAAATGAACGCACTTGCCGATGTCTTACTTAATCGTCCTCTACGTCACCCATGGTCGAGCGAAGACGATAAATTACTTTACCGCGTGCACACCTCAGAATCCAAATCGCCCTATTCTACCACAATGGGCATTAGATGTTCAGATTGGAGATCAAGTTTGATTAACGATACACCAAGCGAAAGACAACGCGACGGGCGAGCTTTCCAAGCGCATTGTAATTCAACTGAAGATCCAAGTCCCTATATCTCTGTTCACACATCGGTTGCGCGTCTTGTTAAATTTCTTCGAAGTTCTCATTATGACATCCTTCCAAATTCGGTAGTTTTTGTCATCTCGCTAAATAGGTTGAAGCAGCTGGGTATAAAAGCTACCTGCACGGATGAGATTCTCGATTCTTTCAGACCGCGATATCGGAAAAATGGACGTAAGGGATTTGAGGATGGGGTGAGTTATGTGACGGATAGTCATTGGTTGGTGGAACAATGGGTGCCGCATCAGGCGATTGTGTCGAAGATGGAGTGTAGCGTTTTCTTGGATATAGCGGAGAGTGAGGGGATTTCTAGCCATGTCAGTGCGAAAAATTATAAGTTGGATCCGAATTTGGAGGCTAGGAAGATTGAACTTGGGAAGTGGTCAGTCGGAATGAGTATACCCGCAGATGGGAACGTTGCGCTAGAACAGTTGGCAACGCGGATGACTAAGATGACTGTGGATTAGTGAGGATTGAGTGCGGGTGGTTGTTCATGATCTTTGAGGTTAGGGGATATATATTATATATGCGGATGCTGTCTTTGATCTCGCTTGTTTTAGGGGTATGTTTTTTTTAAATATGATTTCTTTCGGGATTGGTTGGGTTCTGAATTTTCTGGGATTGGTGTTGACTCGACGAATCGAGATGAATGAATAGTGATGGGATTGTTGGAAATTATAGTTCTGTTATTTGTGGAGAAGAAATGATAGTTATTGATATTGGTTGCAATGTTTGAGCTATCTGTTTTGATTTCACCAGACGAGATGAGAATATGTGGTTTCGCAAAGTATCATTATACAATAGTCTTTAGCATAGTACTGCATACTTGAAGTGCCTTGTAAGTGAGTGAATGTCTCAAATGAATGGGGCAAGTACTCCAAAATCCTTCATTGATAAATGCCGTGCCAAATACTTCGCAACACCCTCGCAATACAAACCAGACTCCTGTCTCTTTATAAGGTATTATCTCATACATCATCTGTTCCCACTCGTCTTTCGCCCCTTCATTATTCATCGCCAATTCTGCCGCTTCCTCATCTCCTTTCTTTCTACACATCTCCAACTTTCCAACTCTCCAACTCTTTACCACTTGACTTCTCCCAAAGCTTCCCCTCTTAAAAACACCGGCACGTCATTAGTATACCATCAATCCAAATAATCCCCCTCCCAACACCCTCTTCTTCCCATATTAAAACCTTTTTACACCTTCAAGTTTTCAATTCCCATCTTCTCATTTGCGCTTGCTTAATTCATGCGTGAGTTATTTTGTTTTATTTTTTCGTCACATCTGGCTTGTTGGAAAGTTATAATTATAATTTATTCTTGGATAGACTATGTGTATGTTTTGAGGCGGATTTTCGTGTTGTACAATGATTATTACTAGAGAATAGAATAAAAAGGGGTTTGGCTGTTGGAACCAAAAGTTTGTTATCTGCACAATCACTGTACAGTATATAATCCCAACATTGGCAGGCAGAACAGACTGGGAGGGTATTATGGATACGGTATGAGATGAGCGAGAGGAGAGGCGGTGGGTTGGATATATGTATGAGGTCGGAGGAATTACAGGAAGGTTCTGAGGGGATGGTGGTAGGGTCTGCAGAATCGTGGCGGTAGACGGAATGTGAAGTTGTGCTGCGATATGTGGTTGGTTTTGTGGTGGACTAGGAATTTAGGGTTGGGATTTGTGTTCGTGGAGAAGAGAGAATGCCTGGCCGGATTGGTGGGGGAGTAGACGTATTCGGTATGTCGGGAGGGTTGTGAAGCTAGGTGCTTTGGATGGATGGAAGGAAGAATGAATGATGCTTTTAGTATGGCGGATAAGTTGTTTACTCAAACTAAGATTGGGGAAGAATATCCGTGGGTATTGAATTTTAACCGAAAAAGAAAGGGGAATATAATATAGGAGAGGGCGCTAGTAACTCATTATCACATTATCAGCTGCTATGAACAACCATAGCTAATTGTTCAGCTCGAAGTTGAAACCTTGAGAATGTATTTAGGATGATTGTGTCTCAATACACAAGTCCGAGTTGAATAATATGAGCTCATTCATTTTTTTGAAATCAATTTTGTTTTGACAACAAACGATAATATCGGATTGAAGCAACTAGCCTAGTAGCTACAGCTTTTCCCTCAGATCAAAACATCGCATTGAGACTACTGAGTATGACGAAAAGTGATCCTTTTAAATCTCATTACAATCTCTGGATAAACATGATAGAGGACAGCCCAGCCCTCGTTCTGCAACTCAAACTCACAGCTTCTTGTCGAAAAGAAATAGTGCAAAATAGCGGAGAGGGTGCTGAATATCTATCTAGCTCGATGCATTTGAAAAGTTACTGTTTAAGTTTCCGCACTGGCAGATCACAATTGATAAACTTTCACAGCTCAGTTCATCTAGACAAATTCTCATATCTATATCTCGAACCATGCGCTCCATGATATTCCAAAGACATTAACATTCTTATGTAATCTTACATTAATTAGACTTACGAGTAATCTCGTCTTTACCCAGTATCATCCCAGGTTCCAGCTCTCTAGGCTTCACACTCTCTTTTACATCTTTCAATTCTAATTCCAATTCCAATCCCAATCCCATAGCCGTGTCTTTCGTTTCATTCATTTTCTTCACACACTTCTCGAGTAGTATGTATTTCATGATAACATAAATATACATTTCCACCCGGGCCGGCTTAGCAAAATTCTTCTTGTTTAATTATTCCTCGAGTAGATCAATACTTGAGTATATAATCTCGTAATAATATTCGATTTTCATTTTAATAGATACTCAGTAGATAGAATCCGAATGGATATTCCTAATACTACAAATCATTAGTTATCAGTTGATATTTATATGGTCATCAGTTCTCTTCATCCTCACCGGCATATTACTGTAGCAAAATAACAACAACAACAATAAACAAACATGGAAGAAATGACCATAATGAGTGTTATACTCAAAATTACGTTGTCGGCGATATCGATCTTTATTGTGCTAGTGGGAGAATTAGATATATATAATATACTCCTCGAGAGTTAAGTATACCTTAAATTTCGAAATTTCTATGGAAGAAAAATATAAACTATTTATCTCCTATTTTATCTGCGAATAAGTGTATTCACTACTCCATCAATATACATACCCGAGTACAAATACACACACACATACACATAATCCAAACATATTCATTCATTCATCATTGAATTTCATATTCATCATATTCCTATTCTTATTATTGTGACTATTCGTTCTCCATCCTCCTTATTTCTGTTATATATATCCAATACAAAATAAAAAATCACAATACTATATCCATCTCGCTCTCACTCTCTAGAGCGATATCTTGAGTTTCGCTTGTAGCTAGATCTTCCCCTTCAAGACTCCCAGGGGAATCCAAGACTGGGATATCTTTTGCAACCATTTCATGGACGTCCTCTTCAGATTTCAAGATTGGTACTGCCTCTGCCTCCACCTGGAGTATCTCAGCTTTGTCCGTTATCTCGACCATAGGCCCATCATCACTCGCCTCAATCTCCATAATCACCCTCTTCCCCTTTATCTTCGTCTCCATCTCAGCAATCTCAGATTGCACAACGACCAATTCCTGTGCCTTTATCGAGCTAGTAACCACAACCTCCTGTCCCTTCGGACCTTTCCAGCCCATCGAGTTGTCGATTTCTCTCATCGGCAGTGTCCCCTCAGCGACAGCTTGTCTCATTGCTTCATATCCTCTTTGATCAACGCTCGGACTACTCACTTCATATCTGTGGTTTTGGATTATGATATCCGGAACATATTTTGGCATAATGTCTGTGCTGGGTTTCAGGGCTAGAAACAATACTACTACACTTAGTAATATGATGAGTACATTCTTGCGATCGCGCATTGCTACACCTGCAGCTTTGACGAGAAGTTCTGTGAGCGATTCATCTCCAGATGGTATGGATTTCTTAGTGCGGGTCGATGCTTGGTTGTAGATCTCTTTTAGACGTGCTTCTTCTGTGGATCTTTCTTCCTTTTCTAGTTTTCGTTTGGAGTCTTCGTTCTCCTTGGCTTTCCTCGAAGATTCTTTCTCCTCCATAATCTTCTTTGCATCTTCCTCGATGGCTTTTTCTTCCGCTAATTCTGAGTCGTAAATCCTTTGAGCTTCCTCCTCGATGGCTAGTTGTTCCGCTACCTCTGCTTTGTGAATACGTTGGGCTTCTTCTTCTAAAGCTTGATTGGCAGCCATTTCTTCTTCATGAATTTGTTGAGCTTCCGCCTCAAATTCCTTGGCGGTTAGGTCTTCTTCCTTATCAAATCTCCAGGATTCGGCTTCTAAGTCCGAGAGCTTTTGGCCATCGTTTAATTCTTCCGCCACGCGTGTGACTTCAGCTTCAGCTTCAACTCGTAATCTCTCGACTTCCTCCACCTGAATCCTTAAAGCTTTCGCCTCATCACGTAGTCTTTCGACTTCCTCTTCAGCTTGGGCTGCCTCCGATTCTTTCTGTATTGAAAAAGCTTCGGCTTCTTCTTCGAGCCGTTTAACTTCTTCCCCTTCAGATTTGGCTGCCAATTCTTCCTTCAGCCGTATTAATTCAGACTCCCGAGCAACTCTATCAACTTCTTCTTCAGCAGCTCTGGAAGCAGTGACAAGCCATTTCTCACGAGCATTTCGAGATTCAACATCTGTTGTCTTCTGACGCAAGGTAACCTTGGCCATGTCCTGATCATATAATCTCTGAGCTTCCGATCCTAGACTTTCGCGATGTGTATCATCATCGGAATAGTGTCCAAAACTATCATCTCCTTCCCCTTCTTCAGCTTCTCGTAATCGTTCGATAAGATCTTCCATGTCCTCCACCATCCACGGTTGGACGAACGGTTCAATCTCCACATCAACCCTTTCCATTTCCCTCCAAGCAGCAGCCCAAGCACCAGCCCTCATCAATCCATTACTTGCAAAGATCTTAATGTTAAATTTCTTGTCATCTTCATCTAGATCATCATCCTCATACTTGACATCGCGACGACATATATCGCACCAAACTTTGTCAGGCTTAGTTTTGAATCGACCGGTACTACCGAACCCACTATCTTTTTCGTCTGCGGAATCATCGTCCGACGAAGTGGTATTAGGGCCCATATAATGCCCACATCGGAGAATCTTGGCGCGAGGACGGACGGGAAGTTCTAGAGCATCGAGGAAACGCTCTTCGAGGCACTCATAACTTTCTTGTGGATGGGGTAGTAATATTCCACGAGTGAGAATGGTATCGCTGAGCTTTTCTTGTAAGAGATAATACGCTTCGCGAATGTTGTAGAGATTTGCAGGAAGTTCGGGGGCGACGATAGCCTTGGAATATTGCCATTGAAGTGGAAGAACGGTAACGTGTAAAAGTACCAGAGGAGGCTCTTCCCTATTCTTCTTGAAACGATTCGGTGTGCGACTTTTGGAGAATTGAGAACCACTTGGAGTACCAAGACGTGAAACCGTAGGATTTTGTCGTCGTTTGGATGATTGAGGGGTGGAGAAGAGTGAGGGTGCTGGCGAATACATTTGCATTGCACGAATATCTGATGGTGTGCGAAATGGATGTCGTGAAACTTTTCGAGGACTACATGATGAATCTCTTGCTCTTGGTGCAGATGTTTGAAAACGACCACTAGGAATTCGTGAGATGACAGACTCGGTAGCAGCTTCTTCACCGACAACTGGAGAATTGAGCTCAATCAATTGTTGAGCTTCCTTACTCAAGTCAAGCTGTCGATTTGATTGCCATGAGCTTCGGTTACTCATTCTGTTAGGTGCTTCGTCTGCGGAATCCATAGAGAAACGAGGATGTTTGACAGAATTATTACTGAAAACATCATCTTTGACATCTCCGTAGTGTGAGCTGTCTCCATCTTCGACATCTCCATCATCGACATCTCCATCTTCGACATCTCCATAGTGTGAGCTGTCTCCACCTTCTATGTCTTCACCGCTTGCATTACCACGTTCGGTTTCGGCATCGGTACTCGAAAGGTTGTGGTGGAGAATACTATCTTCGTCTTCCTCCGTCTGTCCATCGTCTTCTAGCGTAGATTTTGTGGTATCGAATGTCAATTCCGTTCCATCTTGCCCATTATATAAATTTGGTTCGTAGCTCTCGTCGGTTCCCGCGCTCAAAAGCGAATCATCATAGTCCTCCGGCTCATAACTTTCATCCATTTGTGTACTCATTAAATCGTCGTCTTCAGTCGAAGCCATACTCCTCTTGGGATTGTCCCTTTCAATACTCTCCACAACCTTCCTTGCTGCATCTTTGATCTCTGCTTCAATCCTTTGCATGTGCAATTCTCTTGCTTCGGCTCGCTTGCGCTTCTCCTCTCTCGCATGTTTACAATCTTCGCAGTCATCGTGTTCGTTGTGCTTTGTTTTTGTGTTCTGGGGTAAGGAATCGTGTTGTTTGTGCTTTATTTCTGTGTTATCGGGTATTGAATTGTGTTTGTTGTGATTCGGTTTTGTGTCATCGAGTATTGAATCGTCTTCGTGTAGCTCAGATAATTCTTGATCCAATATAGAATCGCCTTCCTGTAACTCTGACAATTCTTGATGATCCAATATAGGACCGCCCTCTTGTAAGTCTGACAATTCTTGATCCTCCAATATCGAGTCCCCTCCAACCTCCAACTCATCCACCTCAGATCCATCTCCCATATCTCTTTGCACATCACTCGACCGAGATAATCCTTCACCGACATCTATGTCCTCACTTTTCGCATTCGCATTCTCGTTCGCATTCTCACCCCCGTCCACTTTCTTAATATCTTTATCTTCAACCATATCATTCACCCCATTCGAATCCTCATGAATCTCAAAATCCGATTGTCGACGGGAATTCGACTTCGACATTTGACCTTCACCTCCACTTTCGAAATCGTCTCGTCTCGTCTCGTTTATATCGTTTATATCCGATTGATTGTATGATAACGATGGTAAATGATGGCTGTGAAGTAAAGTAAATATTGACGGAACCGGGAAATATTCAGTTCATGCAGCAAGCCGTCGATTAATTTTGAAGATTGGTATTGTACGAGGATGGAATGAAATTCTGAGGGCAAATCGCGTAACAGGTAGTACAAGCAAGTACGTATAGATAGATTTACATGAATATCATTAGTTCGTTAAGATGCAAAGTAAAATAGAAAGCCAGCTGTCACAATTGAATTATTGAATTCATTGGAAGAGAAGAGGTTGATGATGTGGAAGATGGAAAGAAGGAAGATAAGAAACAGAGTAAATGTTGAGTTTATGTTTGGTTGTCGTAGTAACGAGGTAAATAGTGAAGAGGGAATGTATAACGAACAAATCAGAATTGAAACCCCTCTTCGAATTGATTTGACGGCTATCCAACCGAATTATCAAAATGTCGGTGAGCACAGCACGGAGGACCAATTATTCACGATGGTTTCATTCTGAGTTTGTTTTGATGGTTTCCGGAACAACTCACTGAATGAATGTAGAGGGGGGCAAAACTTTGAAGATGTAACTTAATTATAAATCTGTTATAAACCCAACCTCTCTGCTTTCACCAATATTCACCAAAACTCACGATCTCTTCTCATCTCACAACCAAACTTGTACCACAAAATACTCGATATTATCGAGGCCGTTACCGTTACCGTTACCGTTACTCCGTTACACCGTTACTCCCAAGGTTATACTACATATTCGAGTATGTATCTTAAAAGATCCGATGCGATAGAAACGGGGGAGTAACGAGTACAACCATAACGGATGTATTGGCTCTTATTTGTATCACACAAATACCGGCTATGCTGTGCAACCCAAGGTTTATATTACAGTATATCGAGGCTTTCTATCGTGAGATTTATTTGAAAAGCTTCATTTTCTAGAAAGAGAATTCTAGAATCAACAAAGATAATAATACCGATACCTCCTCAATTAAGAGAGAAACCATGTCAGCGACGTCATGATACATGATACATACCTTTACTGTAGTTTATCTCTCCTTCATGTATCCATCTCGAAAGTCAAAAACCAAGGTTGAAAGTTTGAAAGTTTGAAAGTGGAAGCTGGTAGGGTGGGATGAAGTGAATTATTAGTTGGAATACGGAGGGGTAGGTAGGTAGGTAGGTACGTTTCGATATTAGAATTACTTCTTTTCATTCATTATTTAAGTATTGACTTTCTTTTTTCTACATCCCACTTGAGTCTACACATCCATCCTATACACATACTATAAACCTTTTTATTCTCTTGGATACTCCGAGTATTGACATTCTTCTTGCACATCATCCTACTCGAGTCTACACATCCTATACAATACACCTTTACAATCTTTAGAATCATCAAATTCATCAAAACTCTATCCTAAATCTATCAATATGGGGGAAAATATCAAAGAAAGTAAGCAACGCAGCGGATTCCCAAGACTTTTGAGAGAATGAATCTAACATTCATAGGAATACCTACACCAGAGAATATGACCATGCTCCAAGCCTTCGAATGGTACGTTCCAGACGATCATAAACATTGGCAAAGACTTCACGATGCTATTCCATCCCTCAAAGCTACCGGTATCGATAATATGTGGATTCCACCCGCATGCAAAGCTGCTTCACAATCTGGAAATGGTTATGATGTCTACGATCTCTATGATCTTGGAGAATTTGACCAGAAGGGAGGTAGAGGAACAAAATGGGGTAACAAGGAAGAATTACTTAAAATGGTCAAGAAAGCCAATGAAGTTGGAATGGGAATTTATTGGGATGCCGGTAAGATCCCTCCGTTTAACAAGTATATTTCCCAAATACAAATATATTGACACCTTTCCTTGATGAAGTTCTCAATCACAAAGCAGGAGCAGACCATAAAGAAAAATGTCAAGCCCAAGAAGTCGACGAAGAAGACCGCACCAAAACCATTTCTGACCCCTACGAAATTGACGCCTGGCTCGGTTTCGACTTTCCTGGACGCGGTCAAAAATTCTCGAAACAAAAATACCACTGGTATCATTTTTCGGGTACCGACTACAACGCCAATAACGACCAAACCGCCATCTACAAAATCCTAGGCGATAAAACCAAAGACTGGGCCAATGCCGACGATGTAGATTCGGAAAAGGGTAATTATGATTATCTCATGTTTGCAGATTTAGATTACGGACACCCGGAAGTCGAGCAAGATGTGTTGAATTGGGGAGGATGGTTGGGTGATCAAGTTAGTTTGAAGGGGATAAGGTTCGATGCGGTCAAACATTTTAGCGAGGATTTCTTGAGGAAATTCATCACGCTGATGAATGATAAGTATGGCCAGGGTTGGTTCTTTGTAGGTGAATTCTGGAAGGATAGTTTGGATGATATGAATAAATATCTGGATCGTATGGGCAGAAAGTTTAGTCTTTTTGATGCTCCGCTGGTTTATAATTTTAGCAAGTTGAGTAAGACGGAGGCAGGGGATTTGAGGACGGTTTTCGATAATACGTTGGTACAGACTTCGCCGGTAAATTCTGTTGTAAGTTTTTCTTTTATGTTTCTTCCTTTCATCTCCTCTCCTCTCCTGACTCTTCTCTACTCATCTTTCACACCTCTTTCCCGTCCTTTATTCTCATCTCACCATCCATACCCAACCCCCAAACTCATCACGCTAAACACAAACCCCATCCAAGACCCTAGTAATGAACCACGACACGCAACCCTACCAAGCCCTCGAAGCCCCCATCGAACCCTTCTTCAAACCTCTCGCCTACGCACTAATCCTGCTCCGCTCCTCTGGCTACCCCTGCATATTCTACGGCGACCTCTACGGAATCCGTGGCGAACATCCTTTCCCCCCCTCATGCAGCGGTGCCCTCCCAAGTCTTATTCTCGCCCGCAAACTCTACGCTTATGGCGAACAAGTGGATTATTTCGATTACCCGACGTGTATCGGTTGGGTGCGATATGGAACCTGGGATCGGACAGCGGGTTGTGCGGTGCTGATGAGTAATGCGGGACCGGGGGAAAAGAGAATGTTTGTTGGGGAGGGGCATGCGGGAGAGAGGTGGACGGATGTTTTGGGGTGGGGAAATGGGGAGGTGGTTATTGGGGGGGGTGGATGGGCGGAATTTAGCTGTGGGCAGGGGAGTGTTAGTGTGTGGGTTGACAAGGAGGCGGAGGGGAGAGAGAGGCTTGGGGGGTTTGATGTGGATGTTTATAGGAGTTAGGTGTGATGAATTGATGGGTGGATGGGTACCAATGATTGGACGAACTCTCGTTGAATTAGCTCAACTCGTGCTAGGGGAAAAATTAGCCCTAGCAGAAAGGAAAGAGTATAGAATCCTGATAGAGATGAGATGCCAAATCCTTTCTTGGTTAGGAATAGATAAACAAGATATGGTTGATTTCGGGGTTGTAGGCTTTAGGCATTGATTCATTCAGGGCAAGGGTGGGAAGGGGTGAATGGAGGGAGGGAGGGAGAGGGGGGTTTTCCATATTATACGAGAGAAGGGGATGTTTGGGTCGTAAAGGGTTAGAATGGATAGGTATACACTATACACGATACATACATACACTATACAAAGACACAGAGAATAGACAGACAGAGCAACCTTGATAGGAACATGGGCAATTGCTTGATTCGCTTCTAAAAGGGGCTAAATGCAAGTCATTGTACTTGAGCTTATGAATGATATACATGAATTTTGAAGGATTACTGGCTAGACTAATATACTGGATCTATACATTTAATTCAGGAAGAATGTACCGTTAGCGGTTAATACAGTTCAGCCAAATATTTCCATCTTTCCATTGCCGACCAGGAGATATTGCTCCTCTAATATATTTTACTGCTCGATCTGCAGAAGACATTAGTTGCAAGTCAAGAAATGGACTTTAATCACCCCCTATTTCTCTTTTTCCTAATCCTATTCAGATACATCTATCATTTAATATTACAATTCCAAAAGAAGAATCTTGTTTAGCTTCCATTTTATTGTAATATATGATTTAAATCATAGAATCTAGATGATGTGTTACAGCTCTTTGTTAGCTAGCATTTATGTCCTACTACTATCAGAACACTAGGCTACATCAAAGCCATCCCCTCAAGGGAAAACTATGAAACAAAGGGCCAGGCTAGGTACAGTCCAGAATCACCCAATTAAAATAGGAATAGCCTATACATCGTGGCTAAGCGAGAATGTTTCTCTCCCTCGGAACAAAAAAACAACTTCTCAATATTTAATCATGAAAAACGAGAATCTGCTTATTCTTTACTTACTTCTTCAAGTAACTCAACTTGATCCATCAGTACCCAAAATGCCGGTAGTTACCAGATCTCAAAGTCGTCTGTTGTCTTCTCAACAAGATGCAAAGTCAAATCTTCCTTCTAAACAATCTACAACAAACAAGGACCCCTCTACTCCAGATGACCCCCTTCCAAATTCCCTTGATTCTTCCAAGGCTCCTAAGCCAAAAGCTGTGAAGAAGCAACGTCGTCAGTCAAAACCTCCTCAGCCAAAAGGAGTGAAGAAGCAACCTCGTCAGTCAAATTCTCGACGACCAAAGCTTCCTCGGCCAGAATCTCGTAAACCAAAAGGAGTGAAGAAGCAACCTCGTCAGTCAAATTCTCGACGACCAAAAATAATGCCCAGAAAACATTCTGCATCATCTTCTCCGGGAAAATCCACCCTTCAGCAAGCCTGTTTCAATGCCATTGAAAGGCTTAGGCTTTCAGATTTAGTAAATCTGCATACACAGTTTCGGAATGATTGGTATTCAGAAACAATGTCTACAATCTCCATTGATTCGGACATAGCAAAATTGAAACTCCACAATGAGATTCCTCGCTGTCTCCATCGTGAGCTTAATCATATAGAGATTTTGTACCATTATTATCACTTAAATGATGGACAAACCGATCTCTATATCTTCAATAAAAAATGGGGCATCAAAACACTTCAGTTTGAGGATGAGAAAATGATTCATGAACATTTAAATCTATCAAATTTCAACTGGGACAATCTCGAAGATTGTATTGTTCTCAACATTTGTTTAAAATCCTCCTTTCGAGCTCTCGATATCGAAAATAGTGTTTTCTCTCCTTGCAGTATATTTGGCCTCAAATCTATCTCTAACGCTGGGTTGTTCAGATGTCAATCTTCGATCTCATGTTCTACAAGTGGTTTCTGACTTGGTCAAACATACGGCGGAAGTATACACATATGATAAGCAGCTACAAGCAACGTTGACCTTGGGCGCAAGAAAGCGCAGTTGAGACCGAGGATTTGGATGAGGACTTGGATGATGGTTTGGATGACGGTTTAGATGAGGATTTGGATGAGGACTTGGATGATGGTTTGGATGACGGTTTGGATGAGTATGATGAAGAGGGTAGTCAAATTAGTGAATTCAGTGTTTCATTCCCGACCCGCTTCGATATCCAGCATCGAAATCTTGAAAGATCTTTTCAATAATTAGCATCGAATTCTATTTTCTTTAAAAAAAACTTAGATGTTTCAAAAGTATTGTATTTGTATATTGCTAGCATTTGATAACAAGACAGGATATGACTATCTTATATAGCAAATTTTATATTTTGTGTAGTTGAAAACATGGCAGCCAGATGAAAATAATTTTGAATTGCGGAGAAAGATATATAAATTAGAGGATGAATGGGACGATGAAATGGAAAAACTGGATGAGTTGTGAGATTTCACCGTTTGGAGCATTTGGTACGAGCTCGAAAGCCATATTTGACGATGCTTCAATCTTCGCTCTTCTACCTTTGCTGACACGATTGAAGAATAGAAGGAGCCTCGCTTCTGTCATTCGATGAGAGAGACACCACTGGACCACTGGACTACCCCCTTTTTCGCTTGAGGTTGATCTCGGGATGTGATGAGGTGATGGGTAAGAGGTACTAGATGAAAGGTCGCGAGTGATTTCCGCATGTGGTAATGGTGCTGCTTCAAGTTCAGCAGAAAGGTGCATGATTTTGTGTATGTCCCCTGGCACCCAAGGTCTTTCTTGGCTGACCTCATCATTACTTAAGAGAGACGAGGAAAATTGCACTAGATTTGTAATGCCAGGATACATAGTGAACACTGATGTTTCGAGGAATTCTAGGACGACATTTTCTGTGTTGTATAGAGGAATCCCTTCAAATCATGATTCGGCATCTCATCTCAACCCCGGTTGCACATCGACCTGCGAACTTCACCTTTGCTCTCAGTGTACTAGGAAATCCCAAAGGAACTTCCTATCGCTCAAACATGAGTAGGACTAGCAGATGTACTTACTGATGAATCTAATATTCAAGTCGTTCGATTTGAATTTTGATAATTATGATGCGGAAAAGGATAAGTTGCAGTTTGTCTCCAACCTTGCTGGGGCTAAATAGTTCGCTAAATTTTAGGCTCTAGCCAAGCATCAGGATTACATGAGGTAGGCCGAGTTGAGGAGCAGAAAGAGGTTGAACTATTCATAGTTGCTGGTCGGAGTAGAGGGATTGACTATGCTCTGTGGATATTACTGAGAGTAAATACTGGCGATATCTCTGGCGATTCTGAAGTCCTTAACAGAGGCCTCATTTTGGGGCACTGTTTTCTGTGAAATGTATGGTATGAGAAATCTTCCAAGGGGTGATAGAATCTGTTATCAAACGAATGTGTGTTGCATCCATTAATTTGTATGAGACAACTCCATGAACTCAACTGGACCCAAAGTATTGGGAAGCTAGCCAAAAGCTAGCCACTAATCATACAGAGGAAATTGCTACAAGTATTCACGTCCCTCACTCTATAACTCCTGAAGTAGCAATAGCAACACGAGCTCTTGGTGTACCAGAACGAGTTCCAAGCCCCTCAATCTTCTTTACAAGCTCCATACCCTCAATAACCTCACCGAAAACCACATGTTTACCATCCAGCCAAGGAGTGGCTATTGTGGTAATGAAAAATTGAGAACCATTCCTATAGAAGGTCAGTCATTCATCATTTCCCAACTCACCAACTTTACAACAAATTAGTCAAAACTTACGTGTTCTTTCCCGAATTCGCCATACTCAATTGGCCAGGCTTAGTATGCTTGAGCACAAAATTCTCATCCTGGAATTTAGTGCCGTAAATGGATTTTCCACCAGTGCCCTAGCTTTGCATCAGCGTTTTCTCATCAACCGTACGTTGTGTGAGGTATGTGACTTACATTTCCTCGAGTGAAATCTCCACCTTGTAACATGAATTGTGGGATGATGCGGTGGAAAGGAGTTCCAGCATATCCAAACCCGTGCTGACCAGTACACAATTCTCTGAAATTACGAGCGGTGCGGGGAGTGATTTCATCATGGAGCTTAAATGTGATGCGGCCAGCGGGAGCTTTAAGTCATGTTAGTGAGAAGTCTATAGATCTATTAGAAATGGTAAAGGATTACCAGAATCGACTGTAATGTCAAAAAAGCAATTCTTGCTTGAAATGTCTTGGGACTTGGTTGAAGCTTCTGTGTTTGAAGAAGTTGCTGGACTGGAACTCGAGGATTCAATGAATGGGAACGAAGAGGAAATGGAGAAGAATGAAGGTGTCAAGAGATTGTAGAGCGGAGCATTATTTCCTTCGGATGATACAGTTGGTGACGGGTATGCATATTTTTGGAAAGGCGCGTGGAAAGGTGGTGCCATGTATTTTGGCTTCGTATCGTTGTGAAGCCATTGGAAAGCAGAACTGGTTGAGAACATCTTTGATACAGTGAAGATATTTCGATCAAATGAAATGGATTTATTGGAGGTCCTAATATCGCAAGCACAATATAAAAGCTTGGGGGCAAATGATGCTAAACAGAGATATAAATTCATATCACGTGACAAACAGTGGATACCACCCGCAGTTTAGCCGCACACCCCGCAATCGACAATAACAGCTTCTATCTTGTAACTTCTTACGGCCGATCTAGTCAATAGATATGTTTATAGCATGAAGACACTGCTACTGCCCTCCTTCTGTCTATTATGTGCTGACCTTTAGTGATCCTCCGAACATACAATCTTTCCCTCTCAAATTTCGCTCCTTTGGATCTCCATATGAGCCAGACAAACACGATACGTCTTAGGCTCAATGATCTTCTTTTACCTCGCGAATTTGTCTGAATCATCTTTTGTGGCCGGTGGAATATCAAGGAAGAAAGGACGAACAATAACGATACCGGGAGCTCTATACAATTCACGTCTATCATCCGTTGATTCGACAAACACCTCAATTCCTATATCGTCGGCGAGCTTGCAACCCCATTTTATCGACAAACTTCATGCTCGTTCCCTTACGGCGATGCCCACGATCCAGGCAGTATTTTATGACTGAAGTTGGCGCATCCGATGGCAATTTCTCGACACGGATGCTTGTATATAATATAATTGCGAGGAGAGGGGAGGAGCAGGTGTACTTTACACAAGTGTGGACGGTTCATGACCAAAGGCGAGCCCCAGGAATGTCTCAGATATATGATCAGAATTAGTCTCCAGTGGGACTATTTACATACACATCTCAAATTAGCATCGGTATGATGATATTCACCAAGGAAAGATGGAATGTATCTTACCTTTTGGCCAACAAAAAGCTTTCATAGTAGGTTGCGGTTTCAGGAATGTATTTTTTTTATGCATAATCCACTTAGCGCCACTGATCGCCTTATCCTATCCTTCACTGTAAGCTAGTGGCTGTTGGAATATCTAGATACCAGGCCCATTATCGTTCTGTATACTCCTTAATATTGAGATCTTTCAGATCTTCCAAGAGACTATTTGCGGGCGTGGCGTAAGCTCTATGTTTGACTTTTACCACTTCCGTAAATTCCGCCACGTTAGTAGCTCTTGATACCTGGAGAGCCATCTTCTGATCATGGAGATCGCCGTGAAAGCAAGCCGGTAATTTTCGGAAATAGTGTGGTAATTAAGTATTTTGGATCAGGCAGTCTCGTGTCTTTAGGATTTTAAATGATAAGAATCATCAAATTTTGATGCTCCCCTTACTACTTTGTCATGCATTATCATCATTCAACTCAATTTTTCTTCAACTTCTTACCAAACTTCTTGCCAACAACAGTCAATCCAGCTTCAATGGATATGAATCGGTGTTGCATAACTATTGCGGTGGATATTATACTCTTATTTCATTCATTCAATACCAAATTATCACCAAGTGCCTGTGATAAAAGTAGAGCTTCAGTCAAATCTTAGATACATAATAATAATGTCAGGAGACGGACAAGCAATATTTTTGAACATGAGATGTGCCTAAATTCTTAGAGTGGAATTTAATTAATGAGATTGAGTTGTACAGCTCAAGATCGAACAATGGCTGTTGACAGTCGAGGTATGGAAAATGTGTGAATTGGGATTAGATAATGGAGGCCGATTGCATGATTCGAGGTTGAACAATGATGCTAACAATTCTGAGGGAATACCTTTAAACTAGACTAGGCTGGCTACTTTAGAAGCTTGAAAGCTTCTACTCCCTTGCTTTTTAGAAATAACAGATTATTTTCTGCGATTACTTTTTGATCCCTTCTTTCTATGTTAGAGAAATATTGCGGAAGAGGAATATCCGAGGTACAATAACAATCAATCGGCCGAATATTTTCTGTTTTGTCAATAGTGAGTATGTGGGATCAACCGAATGGAATCGAGCATTTAGGCGCGCATCGCATGTCACAACCCAAATGAGTAATTGCGAAGATATTAATGACAGGCTCTCGTTTCTCCTACCATATTATCATCATCCCACCTTCCATCTTTCCCAATAACCGCTGAAAGCACACGCATGCATGCATGTAGATAGTCATATCATGTACTCGTATATTCTTGCAGTACAGATGTTACTTGTACAGCACTTCGAACTCCTACGAACTCAAATCCAATCTCACACAGCCTCAATAACCTACCGGTACTCCAAAACGAATATACAATAGCATACTATACTCGAGTAGTGTAAGCTCACTATCACTACCAAATAGAGAGTAGCAAAACAGAAACCCTCAAAGTCAAACTGTTAAACGTTCATTCATCCCTTGCGATAATATTCCTTTACAACATTTTTCAAGAACTTAAGACTCAAGAGTTTTCTAAGGTAGAGTATTCTCTTCAATTTGATTACTTGAGTACATATACATATATTTGTCACAGTCACACGAACAACATCAATCAATCATCGAGATAATAATATAATATCCGCAACTCCCAACCACATCCGTCCGACAGATGATTTCCCCGTCTACAGTCTAGTCTACCGTGACAGACCCCGCATATCTAAGCTTATGATACACAGGTATTCCCCAACCATAAATTCGATCGATTCGCGGCAATACTCAAATACTTCCCTCCCTTGTACGATCTACAGTACCTGTATAGACTACCTAGTATAGACCTAGTGATGATTCAGAGGTGGTGGTGTGGTGTGTAACGTGTATTATGGCCATTTATGGTATGGTACTTACAGTGACAACTGCGTGTAATGTAATTAGGTACAGGTATTGCCCCTCTTGATGTATATTATAATACCAGTATTCGCCTACCGGTACTCCTCCACATAGTTTATTTATTCATAATCATATACGAGTATTGGAACACTCGAGTAGATAAGAAATCGCTAATGTATTGTGTGGGTATCATATGGTATCAGCAATTATCATCTACGCCCGTTCCCTAGATCCAGTTGTTCCGTTGATTCCGTTTTCAGTCTCCTCTTTCCCCATCCCACCTCCACCCCAAACCCTCACCCCCAAACCTATCGACCAGCAACAGGCCCCCCATAAGTCGCTCCCGCACTATTTGTATACCTAAATTCCCGCACTACTCTAATACCCCCCTCCTGCACCTCCAACGCCTCTTCTCCCTCCTCCCTTTCCCTCTCCCTCTCCTCCCGACTCCAATTCCAACGCCGATGATTTCCATACCCCGCCTGCACCGTCGTGATCATATTATTTTTCTCTTTCTTCGGCACCAGATCCAATCCTGATAATGCCGCTATCAGACCATCTTCCTTGGAATCATTCTGACTATGTGTACGTATGGGGTGATGTTGATGTGTATCTTCACCCCCAACATCATCATGATGATGACTTGGCGCAGCAATTTTCGCATTCGTATAGTTTCGACCGAGTGTAGGTTTCGGAACCATGATTTGTTCGTCGTCGTCCCAGTCTCCTATTTCTTTAGTTCTTGAAATCAAAGATGGTTTTTTTCCTCGTGATTTTGAGGGATGTTGCGGCGAATTTATATCGTTCAGTTCCACATCCGTACTACGGTTGAAAGGCGAAGTGCCATCGTAAGAGGAGATTTTGGTTGAGTGGCTGCGGAGCTGGTGGCTGGAGCTTTTGATGAGGGGTCCGATGATGGGGAGGTTTGTTACGAGGACTGCAAGGAATGATTCCCAGAGGGACCATTGACCTACTGAGGTTGTCGTTCCAAGATCCTAGAGATGGATTAGATGAGATTTTAACTTGACGTGAACTCTTGGGAAGAGAGAATTCACGGGTGGAACATAGTATAAAAATACAGGGGAGCTGGAACTTACGGTCAAAATGGAAATACAACGTAAGATTCCAAAGGCAGTCACGAGAAATCCGCCACTATAAAGTACTAGAATAAATACTTTCTGGTATGGTAACATACCCTTTGTAGCAAGGATTGACTGTATCTGTGTTAGTCATGATTAAATATACTGATGGTTGGAAAATTGATCGTCTGGACATACAGGTAGAGGTATGACCAAGATATACATATGCGTAAGTGTGTTAAGAGACATGACGAAAGCCATTTGAAATGTAGAATTTCCAGGGTAACAGAGGTCTGCGATGTGAGGTCAGAAAAATTGTAAATGAACTTGCTATATGCTACTCACTTCCTGGATCTGGGTAAATTTGCCATTGTTTCTTCAAAGGCATGCATTTGCAAAATACTACCAAGATAGCTGATAGATAAGTAACACCCAACACCACGTATCCTATTGTAATGCGCCGCAATGATCTTTTCTCGGCAGCAGCTGCACTATAATTTATAGTTAGTCACTTATTCAATATATTGGTGATCGATTTTACATCAAACGAGCGTAATAGGCAATCCAGCATGCCTTTAACAACCACATTAACGAAATATAGGTTATCCAATCCCAAATATGAGTTTTGGCCCCGTTGACTCGATATGACCATTCTATTGAATTGGGATCTAAAGTTTCGCGCTCTGTCTCTGTCATTCCACTATTTGAATAACCTAACCAGCGAGCCGAGAGATAATGCGATGAGGTCGCTTCAGCTGTGTATGCGAACTATTACTGTATATTAGAATCGTATCTTATTTGAATGTTCACCAAGTCGACAACGAACCAAAGCGCAAAACATGAGGCCATCATCTAGCTTGAGTTGCTTCCAACCTAATTTCGAAACTCGCCCAAAAATCCTCAATGCAATGAATATGACGGCTATGGCCCAACATGTCCATGACTCCACGACGAATATTATACCGTTCATGTCATCCAAACCCGTCTCAAATCCAATGTCCAAATTTTCGCAAGCCGTCGATTTCGTGACACCAATACATCGAGTGTGACACTAACAAGTTCAACGGTAGATCAAGCACAGATGAATAATATATGTAGGGCAAGGAAGTTATGTATGCGCGGAAATTAAAAGAGTGTGGAGAATAGGTTTTGGACCGTTGAAGTAAAATGCAAGACTTTTTAAGATGCGAATTTCGATCTGCCGCCTTCAAAATTATATCAACGGCAAATAGTTTATTTTAACTATCCTCATGAAGAATTGCGGGTTGCCACCATTATAACATGGACATTGCCGGTCGATCTTCAAACTGATCAACCCTTGTATATCTCCATGAACAAATAGATTTGGAGATGATTGACGGTGAGAATGGATCGCATAAACCGTTCGGATTTGTTATTTATGGTCTCGAGCAATCATCGTCTCCTTTCTCCCTCTAGAACCTCCGAAAATGGGTCTGAGGAAGATTTGATAATGTTGTTTGGTTGTGTTTTGTATGTATTGTGGCTTGTGCTGTCAAAATATGCCACATCAAGGGGACAATTTGTGGAGAGCTGTCATTTGTAGAAACCCACTTAGATTTTTACTTCTACCCATGAAATGGGAATAGCTTCAGAAGGGATAGAATCGTGGGCGCTCCACTTGCCATGGTCCGAAACCGAGGCATTTGGATTTTTACTTCTACTCATAAATTGGGGATAGCTTCAGAAGGGATAGAATCGTCGGCGCTCCACTTGCCATGGTCCGAAACCGAGGCACCTTTTCTCTGTTGAAGATGAGATGAATGATTGGATCATGAATGTTGAGCCTTGAACAATTTTGAAGTCGGCTCGTAAACTAAGACCAATCAACAACGAGCGGTGATGTATAGAAGATCGAAGAAACATCAGATTGATACAAGAATAATCTGCCACATTTTGACCCATAGACTTTGAATGAATCCATTCAACGTATACCAAAGTCAAAGGGGTAGGCTTGAATTGATCAGTACGATGTCTTCTTTTAATCATATCCTCGCGTCTATTGCGTTAAGGTTCGGATTCTCTCGACCAAAAATGGCTAATCTCAATTTATGATCAACGGGTGTGAAGCCGTTAGTTAATACTTCGATGACCTGTCATATAACAAAGAGCTACCGCAACACTTACCATATTTAATCAATCCGATAAGCTGGAAACCAGATTTTATTAACGAGCTTTAGACGAGAGGGTTTCCAATGAATCAATGATACAATCGCCGTATTTGTTCATAACCTTACATTATCGTGAAGATTTTGCGAAAGTGAAAAGGACCAAACGAAATGCAAAGGTAGAAACGTCTTCAGTGTTTAGATCTAGGTTCCCCTTGTTTAGTTCGATCAATTTCTGTGCCGTGGTGGGTCTTTGAAGCTATTCCCGTATTCCTCAACATATTGACGAGGGATTGAAACTTCGAATATGTACTACAAGTACGGACTACCGGAGTACCGGTAACGGTACCCTTTCCCTTCCCGTTGTTAAATTCATCTCCGTGTGTGGTTGTTGAAATACCTCGGGATTTATTTATTGTCGAGTCATTGTCGTTGTGTTATCCTGGTGTGTTGTGTCGTGATGATGAAATGATTGGGTTGATGGAGTGTTCAAGTCCAAGTCTTCTTCGAGAAGTTCTAGAAGTGCTGTTCCTTGGTTCCTGTCGCCAAGTAGAAAGAAGCAGTGCCAAGCAATCAATCAAGCAATTCAATCAATCAATCAATCAAGTCACCAGTCCAGTCTTACTGTCGCCAAGTACTCGAGTAGAAAGAAGCAGTGCCAATCAATCAACCCACTCAATCAACCAAGTCACCAGTCTCGAGCATGAAAAATTCGATATGACATTTCTATCAACGGGAAGTAAAACAACACCTTACTGTCGCGAAATAAACCCAAACCAAACTTCGAAACATTCTTCCGTTCAAAAACTTACCTATGTACTTACTGTAAGATTTCTCAAGTGAGAATTTACGCAAGCGGCTATGTGTTCTGTATTCAAAGCATGGCGGGTGAAGACTTTCTCCATATCTCACATACTCTCGAGTATATCTTATATATCTTACATCATATCATCCAACTCATCATCATTCCCATCTCATACTGACATCACTATTTTCAATACCATTTCCCAAGGTTCCTTATACTATACCAGACTACCTACTACCTACTACCTAGTACCTAGTACCGGTACATCTCGGTATCTGGCGCCACTAAGGTATATATCCGGGAACCAGTGAAAGAAATTTCTCATACTCGAGTACAAGTACTGTACAGTTTCATCATAAGGCTGGCTACTAGAAACACTAGAAAACCCAAAATTTTCTAGCTTTAGATTTAGATCGACTGGCTCGCCTCATCCCGAAAAAATACTGAAAAACGTCTGAAAAAAGCTTCATGACTCGAGTTTATCGATGAGCTTTGGAGAGAATTTCACGGATCAAGTTTTGTTGCATGTGAAGTTTTTTGGGTAGTTTTCTTAAATAGGTTTTTTGGGTAGAGAGTTTCTTTTCCTTGGGAGTTTATTTTGGTTACTTTTACTTGGAAAACTTACTTTTGTACTATTATATACTTCGATTGACAGGATTAGAGTTTGGGATACTACGATTCACGTTAACGTTAACGATACTGGTACATCTCATTTCATTCTATTGGTTCTCTTTAATATCACACACATCAACTACACCTAAAACCACACACCCAACAATCAAAATGTCAACCACAACACCCGCACCCTCTCCCGCCACCACCCACTTCCCACAATTCGGTCTCCTCCCCCTCGAACTCCAACGCAAAATCTGGCGCTCAACCTTCCCCTGCTCCCGCACCATCTCCCTCTCCTACAACATATCCGCCCTCGAAGCCTCTCGCTCGCCACCCCCCATCACCCTGTGTATCTGCAGCGAATCACGTGCTGAAACCTTGTTACACTATACGCTGATCTATCGCTCGGAATTCCCGGGGTCGAGGGGGAAAATGGGTGGGAATTGTGGGGTTCTTTTGAGTAGGGCGATGAGACAGCCGATTTGTTTGAGGGTGTTGGGTGGTGGTGATGATGGGGATGGTGATGTGGTGGGGTTTCAGGCGGGAGATTTGTGTGGGGCTGAGAGGGGGAGGAGGAGGTTTGCGGAGTGGGTGGGGTTTTTGGAGGGGGTCGATCAGGAGGTGGGTGGGAGGAGAGCGAGGGGAGGAATCCTAGGGAGGATTAGGGGGGTGGAGTTGGAGGGGCTGGATTGGGAAAATACTATGTATGTGAATCTAAAGTATCAGGAGGCACTAGGGTGTAAGGAGGTAGGGGAGGAGTATGAGGGACAGGGAGGGGTGGAGACGTGGAAAGAGTTGAGTTATGGGGCGTTGCTGAGGTTGGGGGGTTTAAAGGAGGTGAGGTGTAGATATGCTCATGTGGAGTATATGGGGAATTTTGAGGAGCAGTTGAGGAGGTTCTTGGGGTTTCATAAGGAGGTTTGGGGGGGAAGGGTGCCGATTGTTAGACGGTTGGATTGAGTGTGGTGTGTTTGGGTATGAGCATGGGTATGATTATTGATTGATGGTTTTTAGGGTGTGCGTTATGGGATATGATATGATGTACGATATGAGGCGTTTCGATTTGGAAAAATATAGATATCATACCATTAGATATAGAATTAGATATAGATTATAGAATAATTAGCATAGACGACACTCCTCACATAAACAAAGTTAACAAACAAACGCTTTTGCATCTCGAGCAATGAGTATTCTAGAATATACAAAAGTAATTATACTCATAGGTACTTCTCTCACCTCACACAATCATTTATAAAATATCTGGTAACTGTGAAGTCGTTGGTCATATATGAGTATAGAAATCATTGTCAATAATTTTGGCCGGTACTCGAGTATACTTTTCATTGGCCATATGAGTTTTGATGATGTGAAGGGAGGGAGGGTACTTGCTCTATTGTTCGTCAATCTAAGCTGATTAATATATTCGTGATCAAATGGCTTGAACTCGACCATGTATAACGCACTCAGTTCAAACCGCAAATGATGAGAGATTACAGATGAATCACGTATTGAATTTCCTGTTGGAAGAATGGCTGATGGGGTAGCAAAACTCGCATTATCATTATTACTTTGCTAGTACTCGTTATTCGTCATAAACATCATTATCCATCCATCTTCATCGCGATCCCTAACCACCACAAAACATCACTCGCCTCCCTCATCTCATCACTGGCACACCACTACAACCCACAAACCGAAGCAGCCACCTGCACATAACTCGCATCAATTCTCCCCAAAGCCACCGCCTGGCCCCCGGTCAACGTATCCAACGCCCTCTGCCCAATGTTGAACCCGCTACCCGCATGATCAATCGCCAACACGTTGATAGATCGCCCCGCATAACTCAATCGATAACAACTCCCACAGTTGGCATCGTTCCAACCGGCGATCGTGGAGGCACCCCCAATGTTGGGGAAATTCTTCAAGGATCCTTGGGTAGTGTATCCCTTGGGAAGTAATCCGTGGATTCCGTCAGAACAGGATACTACGGCAAGAGAACGAGAGGCATCGTCGTAGCCGGTATCGTAGGATACGGTTATGGCGGAAGTGCTGATGGCTAAGGTGCTGAGGAGGAGGGTGAGGGTTGGGAATTGCATTTTGAGGGTTTGTTTGGGTGGTAGTTGGTGGTGATGGATGTTTGAATTGGTGAGGTTTGAAGTTTGAAGTTCTTGTATAGTAGATATCTGAATGTGATGAAGATATTGTTAATTATACCATTTGATCAGCGCAACTCCAACCTCTTATATACACCACCTCTCCCACTCTCTCCCACTCTCCCCCACCCTCTCCTCACATCACATCCCTCATCAATAAGGGTTACTCGTGATAGCGGAGATCCTGCACCGTCAATTACGAGTAAGATGTCAAGATATCTGAATCAGATGACTGTCCATCAACACCATTCATTGTCATCATCTCATGTCTGCTGAGTTCTGCTGAGTCCTCCCATACGATTAATGAGGTGTTGATGGATACAGTAAATACGAGCTGCAGTTCGAACAACAAGTCTATGCGGGTGGTACTGTACGAAGATCTTGGCATCGTAAGCTAGGTTACTTACATATCCATATCGTCAATGGCATCTCGTACATTATCCGGGATATGCACGCCTCAGCCGTATGCTTATTTCTCCGCATTTTTAGTACATCCTCGTACCGGTACGAGTATATTTCGAGAACTTTTTACATAAAGTAAACCTCACTCGTTATTAACATTGATAAACTGACTGCAACTCGAGTTATTGCCGTACGAGAAAACAGAGGTAGAGTCAGCAGCGGGATGGTAACCATACGAGATACAACTACGTCAGAATCAGATGCAGAGATGGCTAAGTATAGATAGCTGCAGTTAAATCAGTACTGTACATATGCCGATCTCCTCGTATTCTTATAGTTGCCAAGCTTCACTTCTTCCTGTAATACCCGGAGTTGTTGTTTGTGTCCGGGTTTGGCAATGCCGAGTATTGTACAGACTGTACAGTATGCGGAAGTACATTATGCGGGAGTACAGTGGTGTTGTGTGAGGAGTGGTGTTTGAGTGAGGTGAGTTGTCAGATGAAGTGTTGAAGAGTGGTGAAATGGTAAAGTGGTGCAGTGGCTTTGCTGTGGTGGCTGGGACATTTTCCTACCCCGCAATTTTGTTCGTTTGCGACAACTACGGCAAATACGGAAAGATATACCGGTACTTCCTGGAGATGGATATCAAATATCTGAGTTGATCTTGAGCATTGAAGACTCAGTATCTGACCTGATTTTAAGCCACACGAGCAAATCTCGCACTATTGAAGCCTTGCGATCTGATTATTTACACATTATAGCCAGTATCTGCGAATTTTGTTGGCCATCAATGATCATGAATGCTTCTGTTAATTCTTATTACTCTTCACTCGGAGATCTGCTTTCTCTTGCTCCTCTGGATCGGTGGGAATCATATGAGGTCTTGGCCATTTGATTGGCAAAAGCTTCTAGGGAAAGCAAACCTCTCTCCCATCGACATTAACACCGAAAAACCACAAGTATATGATTTCCAATTGTCAATGAAGCCTGACAAGTTGCAACATAGCTGCTGCACAAAGTGTCCAGGACATAACTACCTGTAACAAGGACATGCTCATCTCCTTACAACATCCGGTCATGATACTGGATATCGGTGTCTGGCTTTTTCCACAGCATCAGTTCTCATGTGCAGATCTTTCACCATCATCTGATTGAAGGAACATAACACCGAGCCATTCTTAAAATCCAACTGGATGTCCAAAAGGGATTGGGATACCTGGGTATGGAAGGTTGTGTTCCAGTTGAAGTGGACAATCAAGGGCAATATACTCCATTCTTGCTATTCACGGCTAACAGCCACCGAAAAAGAGATATTTTCAGGAGGGTATTGATCCTACGAGTAAATGGTGAACTGAAATCACCACAGCTGATTTCGGAAATGTTGTACATATCATTGTTCACGACAGAAGATGGCTCTGGTTCATCACTTCACTCTCAAGGTGCTAGCATCGTCTGTATGGAAGAATCGAACTTTATAAGCAACAACAATAACATTCCACACATTTCCTCTACAACAGCAATGCCATCTAGTACATCCAAGCTTCTTTAATACTCTAAGACCTCTCTAGCACCACGGCCTACCTCATTCTCCACAAAACACTGAAAGGAGTATACCAGCCACGAGAAATTTTCTGATGTTGATTCTTCTTGATATTGTCTCACTTGCATAAACCATGGATTGCGGGAAAGGAAGACCTTGATTGCCTGTGACAAATGATTGAGCCTTTGGATTGAAGGCATGCCGGTTGAAACTTCCAGGAATTGGGTGTTGGCTTTCGGGATCAGCAGAATGTGTCCTGCCATGTCTCAATATTGGAGCTTCGGTCGTTGCATGGCAAAATGTTCTCTGTTTGGTGAAGCATCATCTGCATTCATGTCTTGATCTTTCTGCGCTGCTAAACCTTCTCCGTTGTCAATTTCTTTTGACAAACAGGATACCAGCTGATGCCAGGACGCGCCCCGGAGAGCAGGTCTGGAACAGCACACAATGTAGCCGCAACACGAGGATGCTTTGTCTCAATTATGGAGCTTCGGTCGTCAACTTTTGGGGACGAAGAATTGTTTCCAAGAAAGAGATATTGTATTTTTGTGATATCTTGGATCCCAAGATACCGATGTCAAGTATAGGTAGATCAACAGTGCTCCGGTATTGGTGGCATTTTCGACCGAAAATGTGGATTGAATCTTTGATCCCAAGATATCGACGACGCCACCCACAGGGAATATAGTTGTCAGTCTTGCCGATGGAACCGAGTTCTGGCTCTCTCGATTTTATTTTTGATATAGAAGGTCCAGAAACTGGGCTTTCGCCAGTGTTCATCGTAGATACCTGATTCGAGCCACTTTGAGGTGCCGATAATAATGCCTTGATTAGGCATATCCAGAGAAGCTTCTTTTGAGACCTGTCTCAATCATTGAGCTTCAAGGGAGGAGATCCTGGCTTAGAGAACTATTCGTACTTTCGGCGCTACAACATAGGTGCAAATCGATCGCCAAATTTGCGTATAGGGGCGAAAGACTAATCGAACCATCCTCATGGCCAAATTTACTGTTACGGCGAGGAACTTGAGTTGCTAGGTGTGGTTATTTCAAGCACATTTGCCTTTGGCGACTCCGAGATCACAACAGTCTGTAAGTTGCAGAGCAGACCAGTTTGTTGAGATAATGCTAGGGTATCGGAGAAGAGAAACGAGCTGCAGTGCTCACCAGTGGGATGTGACATTTGTCCAAGTACATCACTGATGTCGGTCTGTGGGGCAGAGCGACGAGGAGCTTGCCACTGCCACTGCCACTGCCAGTGGCTGCGCAACGGGTACCCGCGGGGCGCGTTATTGATCTGGTGGATAAACCGTAGGTTACCCATCAACGGGGCGGATTACTGAAACTCTGAATAGGTACCCGTGGGTTACCATTCATAGGGCGGATTATTTTAAATTCCCGATGGAAACCTCCGGGCAATCGCAAAACCTTAGTGGAATATCCACGGGGCGGGTAGTTTTTGCGCAGCTAGCTTTGTGTTGTCCTTCAGATTTCGGACTGCGGAGTTTTGAAGTTTGTTGCTTGTTGGGCAACATTAGCCTCACTACTAGACGGGAGATTGAGGTCCATCTTTGGGAGAGCCGGTCGCTCCACCATATATATATATATATAGGCTCTACCTTGGCCCTTACAAACTTCTGTGCAATTGCGTTTTTCCAAAGATAAGTAATTCCTGGAAGTTGCTGAAGCCCAATTGGGAGAGAAGTCTATCGAATAGACTCAGAATTTTGATCTTATGAGGTATGCTCACTGGGCTGCTGAGTGTGCTTTCGATATTCTACAGAGGTAGACGCCGTGAGTTGCAGATTTAGAGCATCGAAAGCCTTGAAAGAAGGTTGGAGCCCTGAGGTTGGGGATCGCAAATAGTCATGGCAGCTAATGGGTTAAGTTCGGTTCGAAAGTCTAGTGAACAGACTTGAACATTTGGTTTCATGAGGGAGATCTTTGGGATGATGGATGTCGGGAGCTATGAATTCGTACTTGGGTTGGAGCCTTTGAAAACCATGTTTGTGTGGATTCAGATGAGTGACTATTCTCTCAGGTTTTCCCTTGGCCATCAATCTCCTCAAACGCTCCCTCTAAATCTCTCTCCATAGCCATCTAGTCTTCATTTAAAGCTTCTGGGCGTACATCATCAGTCTTCTCGATAGGTTTGATATTCTCACCAAGACTGCGATATAAGTGTGTCCGGGCTCATAACCTTTCGCGTGAAATCTTTGAGTTCTTGGAATTCCTTGGTATCCTTTATGATCAACAGAGTAACGCATGGGAATTTCGACTTCGTTGTAGAGAAGTTTTAAATCTTGTGGTGAAGGTCTTGGTACAGAATCCGAACGACTTTAATGACTTGATGAACTTGGGATAGAATGGAGCAAATCAGTCTTCGAGATAATTGGAATTGGTAGATATCTTGCAGCCATTAAAACTGATGGGGTGTCCAATGCTTGCAGGTACTGATATTGGTTCAAGTGATCTATTGGTGTATTAGCTTGTGCGGCGATGTCTAGATGTGTGGTGTGCGACCCTTGAGTTTGAGATCGAAGCATAGCGATATTAGTAGAATTTTCATAGCTCTATAAAGGCGTAACACCGATGTGTTTGCGATGGAGGTACATGCCTATGCCAGTGTGTAGCTGGGAATACAGCCACGGTACATGAATTTCTGGAGGTAGTTCCTAGGCAGGATATGATAATTTTTCGGCAGGCTGAGGTCGCAGCGAACTGGCTTCGTCACCCCGGGAAGCCATATTGTGGAACTAGGATAGCATAAGCTGTCAAAAATTGAGTGTGTCGGCCATATGGGAGATACAATTGTCTCATTTTCTTGCTTCGACCTTGTGCCATCCAAGCCTACTTAGTATTTATGAAGAGGTAGCTGAATCTGCCACGTTGGTTTCTGCCCATCTGTTGGTCGGTGGCTAAAGTGGGTTAACCCATGCCTAAAAGAGGTGAATTTTGCTGTGAAGAATTCGACGCGAGGTCGTGGAGCTCAAATTCGGAGGGAAAGATCGATGTAAATCTCGCTCGTCAGAAAAAACTCAGGATCTTCTAAAGGTGACAGCAAATCTATCAGCAACTATTTGATATACCGAAGAAGTACCCCGTGGGAAAGAGGAAACTTACTCGCGCACTGCGGCAATGTTGATCTCGGGAGGAAGAGCAATGGATGGCAATTGATCCTTCTGATATTGGTACATTAAACCGAAATCACTGAAAGTTCTATCCTTGTTTTAGGTTCCATGGACAGACGATCGAATAAGTATTTGAATTCGGAAATGTGCCTAGTACAAGCAAGATTTGCTTCTTCGTTAGTTATAGCACAAACTGTGCTTGTAAATGTAGATACCTCGTGGCGAAGAGTCGTGGCTCTCGGACGGAATGTCTTGGAACAGGTCACCATCGCCAAGATGTGATGTGTGCGCCGAAGCGACTGTAGTAAAGTGTTTTATATTGGTACTAATCTAATATTACAAAACTTGTACAATCCGTAACTCTGCCTGCCAGGCTGTCATGCCTTGCTGATCGGGTCCGAGGACGCAGAACAGAAGCATAGTCATTCGCAGCCGAGCTGCGCGCGGTGAAGTATGTCGGCGGCAGCCGCGCTCCCACATGGAGAGGTGTACTGAATGGGGATTTGTTCTCGATTAACCGGTGTTGGCACCCCACTTGCAAGATGGGAATCTGGCCTGAAAAAGCGAGACCAAGACATATTCGTTGACCTCTGGGTCAAGATCGCCAGTAAAGATGGCAATACTTCGACTCAACAGGTTCGATATCTTCGTCATTGAAACCGGCTAAGAAGCGATTATGCAGCCACTCAGTGAGTGGATCTGCCGCATCTGAGCTCGTATATTCTCGACCTTTTTTCCTGCCGAGGCCAGGTCCTCCGGAGTTATCAATAACTCTTTGAATCATAGCTTTTCTGACAAGCGGCCATATCGCTTGAACATTGGTGGAGGAAGGGGAGGTGGTAAAGAGCGTTGTATGGAGAGGGCTCGGAAGCTGTATTTTTGTGCAAAAAGCACATATCCCCCGCAACAATATGTCCTCCCCTCCGATATTTCATACTCCGTCTTTCGTTTCTTGTTCCATCTTCGCCAAGGATTGTAAGGCAAAGGTAATGTGTAAAGCTCTCTGAAAATTGTGCCGAGTTTGAAGACGCTCGAGAGTTCGTAATTCGTAGTCGGGAGCAGAAAATACACATTGGAGTATCGAGGCTATATGCTTCTACCTGACTAGTGCCAGGATACTCCTGATCCGACTTTATTTCTAGAATTTCGCAAATGACTGCATGGCAGAGGAAGTTTTCACGGTGACTGGAGTAATGTTGTTATTATCGAGCATTGATTGTTGCAGATTGATGAAGCTTACATCGATTCATGTAGGTCATACTCCTCGGGGATCCGAATGGATACATGTGACCACATAGGATCGTTTTTGAGCTTGGAAGTACCGACGGAGTTGTGGTAAGAAGCAATTAGACTGTCTCCTGCCAAAGGCCGATTCTGGAGCCATCTTCTTAGCTTGCTGAAACCCGTACTTTTCGTTTGCACGAGTATCATCTGGGAGGAAGCCTCGAGGCGGAAAGTCGAGCACATTGTGCTCCGCAGCAGAGAGATCAGTACGCGTGACTGTTATCTCGGCTCAATGGTATGTAAGCAGAGTGGGTGCTGATATGCCGCTGTTTGACGCCATAAGAAGTACACGAAACACGGTTCCAAAGTTTGCCTTGCTTGTGTTGCTGGTGGTGCGGATATGAACTGGTTGTCGATAGAGAAGTTGTGCTTTGCAAATTGTTAGTTTGTGGCAATGGAAGAAGATCGTGAATTAGATGGTAGGAGCCATCAAATCAACGATCTGATGGTAAACTGGAAGGTAGCAATTTACTTACAAGTAAACTCTCAAATACAAAATGGGATGTTGTGAGAGAACTTGTCTTTGTTTCTCAAACTTTTCTTTGCTTATATCAACCTGTCGAGACTTGGTTTCAAAAACCACTTCAAGTAAAAACAAAACATAAGGTAACTCCAAAGAAATTGCAGATTGTCGATCTTGATCCAAGATCGAGAGAAGTTTGTTTGGTGGCCAAAGAAGTTATACGATTTCTGAAACAAAACAACAATCTTAATCTTTCAAGCTAATTTCCTCAAAATAATATCTTGCCCGATAGTTGTGCGAGTATTGTTATTGGATGGTCGAAGCGAGGGCTTGAGGGTTTGAGGGCTTCGATCTTTGGGGAGATTTAGATTCACTTCTAACAAGTCTTATCTACTCACTACTTATAACAAGGACACTGGCTTGTTGCTCTTATAGGCTTTTATGGATGCGAAAGCTGGAATATGATTTGTTGATATACAAAGGATATGTTCAGTGCACAGTTAGACTGAGTTAGTCACTGTTACAATAATGGGTTTTCAAGTTTAATGGGGTGTTTTGGATTCTTTATTACTTTGTGTGGCTAGCTTTGGATATATGAATGGGATTTTGTTTTTATGTGTGTAGATTGTTCGTGGTGGGTGATGGTGGTGGTGAGCTGTATCCTGAGTATGTATTGAGTTGAGTTAAACGTCTGGCTGTATTCTGGATGTAGCCCATAGATAGTCACCAACAGTATAGAGAGAAAGACTTCAGTTATGAGTGCGCTCTCATAAATCTACATTTCGAAGGTAACATTTTCTTCCACATATCTGGCTGCCACCATTACTAGTAATCCAGCTTAGCTTCTTTCTATTCCAAGCCCTCTTCTAAGAAATATATCTGTTGAGCATAACCGGACACATTTATTGGTATTACGAAGATTGTGAAGCAGGTCCTGTATAGAATCCTAACTATTTTCCACTCATCAGGTCCAAAGAGTGTATTTTGTATGTAGTATAATTGAAATCATAATGTTGGAGGCTGTGTAACTATCCCAAGAACATGAGATATTTTCCCTGGAATACTACCAGAATTCAGAACCCGGAAACGCAAGTCAAAGGATGCATAATTATGGTTCGAAAGTTGACAAGAGGAGAATGGAGTGGATTTGGGTTGGATTGGGGTTCTGGATAGAGAGTAAGGGGAGGGTGGACTGGTTGAACTTATGTGATGGTATGAGTTCTTCTGAATCTTGACAAATCATAATATCTTGGATGGTTGATTGAGCGAATTGAGTTGAGGTGTTGGTTTTATTCAATGATTCAACTTTTCAAGGTATAGGGCACAATTCACAAGTTGGAATAACTCAGAACAAGATAGGATGAAGTAAGGCTTGTAAGAGTTGCGGCCATCACTTACCGCACACCTAGCTATTTCGCATCAAAAACCATCATTTCTTCAACTTTTCAATCTTATAATAAAAGTCTGTGATTATAATATGAAACTCTGTAAGTTAGTATAAGGAATGTTAATTAATCAAAATTATTCAGAAATTAGATAGAATATTTTTATTTAATTTATTTATTGAATTATTATTGTTTGAAATTGAATAAAATGAAATTTTCGAAAATATTATTTATTTTGTATAGGAAAAACATTACATTTGTAAATTTTTCAAAATTTCAAAGTTTCAATACGTATTTTTTATTATAAATCTTTTTTTAAATTATTCTAATTAATTTATTAAATGTTAGAAAGTGATGCCCTATAGCATAGTGGAAGTAGTAGTATTATTGACTATCTTAAGAAAGGTGCTATTAATAGAATTAAGCTCTTTTTCCAATCAAGATTATCACTTTAATGGGAAAACCATTTAACATCTTTATTAATTATATACTTATATACACATGATTTTCTTTAATCTCAACTTCCAATATTCTCTCATTGAGATTATATCTTTATGAATTCCACTTGTATTCTCTTCGATTATATTACTAACCCTAGTATTTTACAGAATCTTTTGAATAAAATCCTTTTATATAGTTTTGTCATTCTATTAATTATTATATTAATGATATTAATATAATTAATATAATTAATAAAGACTTTTCCTTTTTTTCATTAAATCTTTGATAAAATAATAATATATATTAATATACTTAGATCTTTT